TCATTTGGAAAAGGCTTAAAATAAATATAGGGTCTTCCTTGGCAATGGTGAAGCAATTTTATTTTGAATAATTTGTGACAGATTCCAGGCTGCTTCATCTGAGATAAAATATTGGTCCCTTGAAAGAGATGGAAAGAAACCTGTTAGCTATAAAAAAAAAAAAAACTTATATGACTCTACAGTGAATCGCTTCACTCACTAAGTAATCCCACATGCAAAGTAATTTTGATTTGGGACCATCAAAAAGCCCTTTGTTTTTTATTAGTTTATTTAACAAGCTTTTGTTTTAACCTTTGACTGTGAAGGAAATATGTTAAATTGTCATCTAAGTAATGAAGAGAAATAAAATGAGGTCCTGATTTATGATTTGCATCCTGGAGTAAAGACATGGCCCTTGTATGACCTATGTATGATGTACAGCAGACATTACTCACACAATCTTATCATCACTGTGTGTAAATAAAATTTCTTCCGCAAATAATAATATCAAAATTTTTATCTAAGGATTGCCTGGATAGGGATTAAAAACAGGCAAGATGGCAGAAGTGATGTCATGATCCAAGCCCAATCTTTTGTGGAATGCCACATGGCTCAATATTCTCTCCCTTCCTGTATAACATTTACAGGAAATCACTGGGTGAGTCTATCCACCAGTTTAGGGTCCCATATCATCAGCATGCTGATAATATCCATTTATAATTTTTGACTCCAGGTTGGCCAAGTCAGGCTGTCAAAATTCTGTCTCCATACCTGGATTGGGGGACATCAATTCTGAATCAATCCTATTCAGACCAAGTAACCATGGCTGTTGGAACCACAGCCTCTGGGGACTTTCCATCTCTACTCCTGAATGGGGCTGTACTTCCCAGCCAGGATGGTTTGCAATTTGGGTTTTGTTTACACTCACAGTTTAAAAAGCAAGTGCAGATGTGTCCAAGAGAGCCCTTGCTCAGCTCCATCTGATGTTCGAGGTGCATCCTTTCCTGGATCAGTCTGTCCTTCACTTATTCGTATATTTCTCATTTCATAGCATGACTATTGCTAGGTCCTCTGGGTGGGGCTCCCCTTCACGACGGTGTAGAAGATATAACTGATCTAGAATGCAGTAGTATGAGTAGTGATGGACTTACTCAGAATGCCCACATATCACTCTGTTCCATGAGCTGCACTGGTTGCCAATGTGTTTCTAGGTGCAATCCAAGGTATTGCCTATAAAACTGTACATGGTGCACAGACCATGATTTCTGATCATCCAGTAAAATCTAGCAAAATGGGCATATACTGAAGCCTTTCAATTAAATAGTATCACTTTTTAGAAGCCAGGAAGCATGCCTTTTCTGTAGACATGATTTTCTATACCTGCCATCTGGAATGAGGTTAATCCTGAGATCTCCACACTTCCAGAAAACGTGGCTCCCAAGCCATGGAATAAAGTAAATGGAACTTCCCTGTTTGTGATGTTCTATATGCATTGTTTTGTTGTTGTTTTTGATTATCTTATGAGTAATTTGTAGTAATTATGTACAAGTTCCAGTTATTTTTTGAATTTTGTTTATTTTTATGTTACTCTTATTGTTGTGAACTGCCTAGAATCAATTGGAGTTAGGTGGGATCTGAATTGTACAAATAATTAAAGTTTACGTTGTGATTCGCCAATGTGCCTATTTTAACCTTTCTGCATAAGACAGTGCCTTACACTGAGCCTTATTTAGAAATATGCAAAATATCTTTATTTAAATATGTTCCAGCCTCAAAATGAATATTCTAGGCTTCAGACAAAACATCCCTGTTTTGCTGAAACATTTGAGGCAACCATGTATGGTTCTGTGATTAAAGTATTCTGAGCATTTGAGATTAATTTGATATTTTGTGACTTGTGAATGGCAGTAGTTGGAATGGTATAGTATGGATTGTGGAAAACGAAGCAGTTAAGCACACAGAAAGGAAATGACTGTTTGCAGCTGCATGTTTACCAACCTGCTGGATAAGTTATTGCTGTTTTTAACAAAATACTTGCTATGGAGTTCCCAGGTGGATTTTGCATATGTATTATTTGCTTGCTTCCACAAGCAAAAATCAAGTATAGGTAATCAGAATTATGAAGAGTTTTGAAAAACCTGCCAATGTTTTCATGTATTCATTTGTATATCTAATTCAAATAAATAATTATTGGTTGGATACGGTTGGACAAAGCTAAAGTTTCTTTCCTTGTATCCTACTGTTGCTGTTCTTTTATGAGTCATTTCTAATTTATGGATTTCAGAAAGTAATAATTCACAGGCCATCTCCTGTTGTTTTATATCGCAAGCCACTTTTCTAACAAAGGAGTCCCTGATGAGGTTTTTCATGACATTCCATATTCTTGCTTTAGATAGCTCAAGGGAAGCATTCTTCTAAATCTACTCTTCAGTCTTTCCTGAAAATTTGGCTGAGATAGATTGTTCTGTTGAAGAGATTATTTATTTTCCATATAATAAAGATCAGTTGATATCCTGCAGGTTGGAATAAAGCAATTATATGTAATTGTATAATCTCTATGGGATGATGTTATTCATTACTTCAAATTTTAAATCTAACAAAAAAAAATCAATTCTGCAATACATACCTTCTCAGACAACGTAACAAAAATGATGTTTAATTATTACATTGCTACATTTTCTTAGATCAGGTAATTCATACTTGTCAAAAACTGATGACGCCAAGAGGTCTCACTAATTTATATAGCAGTGATGGCTAACCTTTTTGCCATCACGTGCCAGGAGCGGGGGGGAGGTCGCGCATGCGCATGCCCACACACATAATTTTATGCGCCCTGCCCTTGCACATGTGCATGCTCCCCCCTGCTCCCCCCACTCCTGGCATGCGATGGCCCGGTAGGCCCGTTTTTCTCTCTCACCAGGCTCCAGAGCCTCTCTAGGAGTCTGGGGAGGGCGAAAACAGCCTTCCCCACCCCCGCCAGGAGGCCTCTGGAGGCCAAAAACGGCCCGTTTGCCAACTTCCGGTCCCACCGGAAGTTGGCAGTCAGACCATTTCCTGTCTCTGGAGGGTGGGGAAGGCCATTTTCACCCTCCCCAGACTCCTAGAGAGGCTTTAGTGCCTGGGGACAGCAAAAAACAGGCTTTCTGGTCCCACCAGAAGTTGGCAAATGGGCCATTTCCAGTCTTCAGAGGGCCTCTGGAGGGTGGGGAAGGCTGTTTTCGCCCTCCCCAGACACCTACTGAGAGAGAAAAATGGGCCTTCCCCACCACCCTCCGAGGTCCTCCAGAGGCAGGAAACAGCCTGTTTCCCTACTTCTGGTGGGCCCAGAAGAGCCGAAAATCAGCTGGCCGGTGTGCACATGTGTGCCGGAGCTGAGCTCGCGTGCCCACCAATATGGCTACGTGTGTCACCCATAGGTTCGCCATCATGGTTATATAGTAATACATAATTCTTGGAATTCCAAATTGTTTTTATTTTAAGAAAAAAATTATGTCTATAACTTAGATCTATCTCCTCAATCTAGGATGCATGCGATTAAATTTCCTGAAGTCTAAGGATCTATACTGTAGTGTGTTAAATTAGAAAGTAGATATAATCCATATGTGGAAGCAGAAGCTTGAACACTAGAAGTAAGGAATCTCAGAGCAGATAAAATCTTAAAATGTCGTCAGTTTTTAAAACTGACAAATAGGAGAATTTTTTTTCATCATTATGTTTATAATAAAAGCCTCGGTGGCACAGTGGTTAGAATGCAGTACTGCAGGCTACTTCTGCTACCTGCTAGCTGCCTGCAATTTGGCAGTTCAAATCTTGCCAGGCTCAAGGCTGACTCAGCCTTCCATCCAAGGTGGGTAAAATGAAGACCCAGTTTGTTGGGGAAAATATGTTGACTCTGTAAACAACTTAGAGAGAGCTGTAAAGCATTATAAAGTGGTATATAAATCTAAGTGCTATTGCTACTTAAGTGAAAAAGAGACTGACCCATGCCATAAATCATGACCTGCAGTTATCTTCATTATTATAAGAACGTTTTTGCAACTGCAATAAAAGCACTTTATATAAACTTTTGAGCCTGGATATATTAATCACACAAACACAAATATATAGAAATATTGAATGACTGTATTGTAAAGAAAATAAAATTGATGTGTCCAGATAGAAACTTCAGTTTCATTGCAAAAATACTGCAGTCTTGATAAATACTACATACTCCAATACTGTTCACAGTAATTAACACAAATGTTTTATAGTTTTACAAAATGTCAATGCCTTAGAATTGTAATGGATAATGGATTATATAAAACAATTCACTTCAGAATTTATATATTTAGGTTCTACATAGAACATTTTATCCTTCTAAGGTACTGAGATTAAAATTTGCAAGCAATGTGATCAAATTTATGAGATTAGTATTCCAATGGTTGAAGAATGCTGAGTTGGGAAAAGGTAATTTAGAGAATATATTATAAACTAGCCACAAGAATTAATTTTTCACCAACTTTTTCCTTTTCCTTGAAATGTAATGAATTGGTTCTATGTTATAAATATTTTTTATTTTAATTCTGATTTGGTTGTTTGACTCTTGTAAGGCTCCCTAAATCACATTTGTGAGATGGCAGCTATATAAATTGAGTAATAGTATTTTAACATCTTCCCACTAGGTTTCTGAATTATTTTGACTAATTAATTAATTGATCAATTAAATGTATACGGCACTCAGATCACTATCAAGCAACTCTGGGCAGCTTACAACATGATTAAAACAATAATATAAAACATTAAAACATTAAATACTAAAATTAACAAAATTAGCTAAAATAGGAACAAGTATACAAATAGGGTGACAGTCGAGCCTGCTTTTTAATCCAGTAATCACCTCCAATATGGAATCTTCTGTATCTAATCATTGTTCTCTTTAATAAGCCATTTTTAATTCTACATATATATATATATATGTAGAATATATATATTCAATTAATTTGATTTTAATTAATTTGATTTTTCTGTCTTCTAATTCTTAGGTGCTCCTAGAGATGCCTTTTAATAATTTGAAGAAACAGCAACACAAACAAATCAGAAATTCAATAACTGCATTAGGAAGAAATTCTAGTTGCTCAAGGTAATGGTTTGAAGTCTGTTTTGTATATCTAATACTGCACATCTTTTTTTGTCACAATAGTGCCAAAATCTAGGATCACAATCCTGGTTTACTTTCTTTTGTCAATTTGTGTCAAAATTTTAATATATTAGAATAATTTATGACACTAAATTTATCTTAGTAGCAAAAAATAGTAGCACTGTAATTAAAGTGTCTTTGGCAGCTTTATTTTCAAGAGTATTCAATTCAAGGCTGTAATTCATCCATGTTGAGCTACCTAATAGGAAAAAACCCCAACCAAAATTGCTTATATTAAGCTGTCTCTTCGTCAGAGGAAAGAACTATCTTTTACAGCTACTCTGTTTTGCAAAAATACAAAAGTTATAAAATTGCAGCCTGTTTTGCATATCTAATACTGTATGGGTTATCATCTTTTTGTCATAATAGTGGACAAAGTCTAAGATGACAATCCTGATTTACTCCCTTTTGTCAATGTGTGTCAAAATTCTAATATATTAGAATAATTTAGATGCTAAATTTATCTTAGTACCACAAGATAATAGCACTGTAATTAAAGTTTCTTTGGCAGCTTCATTTTCAAGAGCAAGCAATTCAAGACTGTAATTTACCCACATTGAGCTGGCTAATAGGAGAGGAAAAAATCCCGACCCAAACTGCTTACATTAAACTGTCTCTTATTCAAAGGAAAGAACTCTCTTCTATAGCTCCTTTGTTTTGCAAAGATAAAAAAGTTATAAAACTGTTGATTAAAAAACCATTTGGCATCTTATTAAGTGAACTATAATCTATATTCAGCTTTGTTTAACAAGAAGATAAGAGAATCCTATTGTTCTATTCTAATGACTTATATCTGTAATATTGCCTGGCTTAGAACTCTCTTTGATGATATAGCATAGCTGTTAGTACTATTGATTGGATTCACAAATAGCACTAAACAATGATTTGCTTTAATCTTGATTTGGTGAATGAACACAATTAGCTGAGTTGACATAATATACTAAACAGTGGTGGATTCAAATTTTTTACTACTGGTTCTGTGGGCATGGCTTGGTGGACGTGGCATGGCTTGGTGGGCGTGGCAGGAAAAGGATACTGTAAAATCTCCATTCCCACCCCACTCCAGGGGAAGCTTACTGCAAAATCCCCATTTCCTCCCTAACAGCTGGGACTCGGGAGGCAGAGAATAGATGGGGGCAGGACCAGTCAGAGATGGTATTTACCGGTTCTCTGAACTACTCAAAATTTCTGCTACCAGTTCTCCAGAACTGGTCAGAACCTGCTGAATACCACCTCTGATACTGAACTATAAATCAAGATTTACTGACAGTAATGACTGAGTTTATATAACTTGCTAAAACATTATGAGGGAAACCTTACTTTGGCTTTAGTGAGATGGGGTGGGGGTAGTGGTGGACTGGGCCATTGCTTGTTTAAAGCCAGATAGTGATCCTTGGTCCTCAGAGAAAATCAGCTTGAGATTCTTCATTTTGAAAAATAAATGTATATTCCTTAAAAAGAATTTATATCTTAGGAGAACTCATCTTAGAAGACAGATCTGTAGTGTAAACTGACTGGGTTAATGGAAACATTTAACTTTATGCATACTCTGGGAGTCTTCAAAATCAGCTACTGATGTTGTTGGTGTTCAGTTGCTAATCATGTCTAATTCTTCATGACTCCAAGGCCCATAGCACACTAGGCTCATCTATCCTCCATTGTTTCCTGGAGTTCACCCAAATTCATATTCATAACTACTGATACAAACATTCAAATCCTTTGATAAAAATAGAAAACCAAGGCAACCAAGACAATGCCTACAGAACAATTAATCAGTGGAACGTCTTGCCTCCAGAACTTGTAGGTGCTCTAATACTGGAGGTTTTTAAGAAGAGTTTGGACAACAATTTATCCAATCTCTTCTTGTAGAGGGTAGAGAGTCTCCTGCTTGAGCAGGGGTTGGACTTGGTAGAAATGGTAGAGGGTCTCCTGCTTGACTAGAAGACCTCCAAGATCCCTTCCAACTATGTTATTCTGTTATTCTTAGGCTCACAGAGTCATTAAGAACTAAATGTCAGAACCCATCTCCCAAAAAGTGAAAAGAAAGTAAAAGAAGGAAACCACTGGGGGTAAATTTTGCTTATTTGTTTATTTCCTTTAAAAGTAGACAATAATAAACTTTAATTTTTTATTTTTTTATTTTATTTTAATTTGATTTGTATACCGCCCTACTCCCGAAGGACTCAGGGCGGTGAACAGCCAACAATAAAATACATAAATACAAAAAATTTAAAAACCAGATAAAATCAAATTAAATCATTTTGGCCCAGACAGATTAAAATACCCCAATAATTTAAAAACAGATTAAAATTTACATATTTAAAAAGGGAGGAAATTAGGCCAAGCCTGCCTGATGGAATAAAAAGGAAGTTAAACTCTTTGGGAAACTCTTTTACTTCCTCTGGAAGAGTGAGGAAAAGATGTCCTGGTTTTTTAAAACAAGAGATTGAAACCTGCCAGGCTTTGACTCAGTTGAGCATTAATATAAACTGTAATCCAACCTGAATTGTGGTCTGACAATTAGGGACACATTTTTTCAATTTCTAGTGATAACTGTGTTGCAAAAGTCATTGATGGATTATTGATTTTTGGTAATTTTTAAACCTGTTATAGCCACAGGTTATGTTACTTGGTATGCTCAAGAGCATTTTCAAACATCTTCTAATACAGATTCACTGAGAAATCTTTAAATAAGGACAAAAGGGTGTTATGGTGAATTGAATCTAAGTATCACACACAAAAAATAATCTATTAATAAAAAGAAGTCTTTTTCACACATAAAGAACAAAGAATGAAATTATTCAAATAATTTATTTTGAAAATGGCATTTTAAAAATAAGAAGGGGAAATAAGTAAAGGAATTTAAAATGCTTTTTAAAAAGGGGGAGGAATCAAAAAGAAATAAAATTGCAAGCACACACACTCTTTTAAATGGTTTGGGGTGAATGAGGCTTAAATTTGAAGCCAGAAAACCAAATTAAAGGATTAATTTTCCTACTGGTGCCTTTAGACCAGACAAGACAGTAGATGTAGAATGGAGATAGCCTAGATTTACTTACCTGGATTTAGGTAAGTAATAATATTTAATTGAACTGGATGGACATAACATGCCAGAGCTATTTGATGATTTTTCCTGTTCTTCGTTTGATATAACATGGCATTTTATTGTAATTCATGATAACTTATCTCAGAGTTCTGCTTAGTATTCCAACTAGATATGGAGGCTTAGCTTTTGAGAATAGGAAGGACCTATGATTTTAGCTAGCAAAAACAGATTTTTTTCCTCCTGTATGGGAATCACTGCTGTTTAGGAATACTACTGAGGGCACCAATGCTTCCACAAAAATAATACTTTATCACTTCACTCTTGCCTTAGAATCTTAGAGCTTTTCTAAAAGGATTTTGGTGAAAGGACAGGTTATGGAGGAAGACATTGGAGTCACTTTGGCTTAGCTAGGAATGTGTGATTGTCCAGAGTAGAAGAATAAATGTCAAATTGCTAACCTTTGGAGACACCATCAACAGAACTAGTAACACAGAAAACAAAGGCTCCAATATGTTGTTACTGGCCGTAGTCCACCAAAAGAAAGAAGCAGCCTGAAAAGATTATGACATTGTGAGGAAAGCAATAAATAAAATTTATTATGAAAATGTACTTCATCTGAACCTGATTGATCAATTAGCTCAGAAACCACAGATTGACACTATAAGAGAAGTAATTATAAAGATTATTTAATAAGGCTGATAGGTCAGACTTGTCGCTTAAAATATGCTTGTCAATTTAGGCATTCATCAATGTACACAAGTATATTCTTTTTTGTTCTAAAAAGCATGTCAATATTTCTTTGGAAATAGAATTGTGGGATGGAATTCTTTTCACAAAACACATCTCTTAGCTTTTAAGATTAAATCAAAGTTCTTTTTATCTTCAGATTGCTATTTTCCAGAGTCAGAATGGAAAAAAGGTAATTGTAAAATTTGACCCTCATATTTCAATTCAATATTGCATATATGTGTAACATCCAAAAGGAGTATTTTGCAATTGTTTCATTTTTTGATAGACAATAGGTTTTTACATGTGTGTGTGTGTGTGTGTGTGTGTGTGTGTGTGTGTGCACATATGCCACATCATCTGAGCTTCATTACTACATATGAACCTATACATACATACATACAAATATACACATACACTCACACATACACATAAGCACATCATCTATACACTGATGTGGTCAATTCCCTTTGAACTGTAGAATAGTATCTGGCTATCTTTATTTCACAATTCTAAATTAGGATGAAATTGGTCGTGTAATATCTGCCTCCTGGTGGTGTGTATCTGAAAATATCACACAAGATTTACATTATATTTAAAAAACCATAAATTTTCTTTCTTCCGAGAGGACAACGGAAGAAACTCCATACATGGGACCATGACGTATTGTAACATCTGTATCTGTGCTGTAAGATTTGGTGGTGGACTGTTTATAACATTCTAAAGATTATATAAATACTAAGAAACTCCTTTTTCAAATTCAGCATAAATGAATGAAGACATAGAATGTCTTCCTTTTAGCATTTGTTTATGCCTCCACAGTTTCCAACAGTTTGAGAACATACTTATACTGGGGTAGATGGTGCCCAAAGAAATTCACTCCCATAGATATATTAAATCATATTTACACATCAAATGCTACTTGATATTTTGGCAGAAGCACAAAAATGCTGTGAAGATACTGCATTATTTTAAATTAATATCTTCTTCAACAAACAAACATAAAAGGGTCAACCTCTAACAGAAACAACATGTTGCCTCACTAGTTTGATCTGATAACAGCTTTTAAATTGATCCTAATAAGTCCTTCTCTCTTCTTCTCTCTTCTCTCTCATAGGTACACCCCCAAATATAAAAACATTCATTTTAAATATACAATGAAAATCATAATATGACCAAAAAACCCTCCTTTTGCTAATCCATTTTTGATGTCTGTTCAGGAAAAAAGTGTGCATGTATATGTAGCTCTATAAGAGTTATTGGCAGAAGAATTTTCTATGTATAGAGTTATAAGGCCTCAGAAGAAGAGTAGAATATAATATAACCAATGATTATTACTGAATCCATAGAATTAGAGCAATGTTACACCTGGGGCATATGCAGGTAACAAATACAATTTTTTAAATCAGAATTGCTTTCACAGTTTCCAAACCACTATAGGAATTGCAATTTTGTGAGAAGGATATGACTCAACACAGCACAAGAATTGCAGATAGAAAATTCAGCCCCAAAATTTGTATCATTATCTTAATATTATTGAAAAAACACAACTTCACAAGTCTCTCTTCTTTTATTTCACTTCTCCACAATGTTAATTTATGCATTTATTAGTTATATTTCTAATTCACTGAATAACTGGAGTTTTTAAAGTATGTTACAAAATCTGACACCTAAGATCTCTGCATCTTCCATGCTGGTAGGGTTTTCTGGTAGGGGGCATTTATTTACTTACTTACTTACTTATCACCTTACTTACTTACCACCTTACTTACTTACCATTCTGCACCAATCAAATTAAATCTGTTCACTATTGCAAGAATGAGACATTAATAGACTTGTACAAGTACAGGGAAAATTAATTGAAATCTCTTCCTCATATGTTGATGGTACTTCTGGGCTGTTTCCATCATGTTAAATCACACTTTCTGCCTCTTGGGATGGGGAGATTTTGTTTCTTTCCACAAAACCACTGGGATCTGGGATAATGAAAGTGTGTAGCAACATTGTCTCTCTTCAGAATAGCCCTTAAATACAATAATCCTGTCAACAAAAGGTGTGGCAACCTGTATGCAGCACCAAACAAACTGAAGGTATAAGAATTCAATGGAATGGATGGAATTCTTTATTAGCCAATAAATGATTTTAAAAATAAAGTGACCCACATCCATAATGTGCATTGAAAGTTAAGTGATATTTATGTGAATCTTTCAGGAAAATGCATGCAGGCTTTTTTTTTAGCTAGTGCAATGGCAAATGCATATCTATTCTTCATTTGCAGCATCTGATGGAAAAGAGATCAGAATGATCAATATCATGAATAGATTTTTGTCTTGCTATTAACCAATACAGATGGCCATGCATAGGAGAATTTCCTAGCAGATTGTGCCTCAGGTCTTTTCATTTTATTTCTTTTGAAAAGTACTCTATTTTTAAACTTAGCTCTTAGAAAATTGAACAGCTGTCTCTCCTTTCAAATTATGGAAACTGTAGAAGAAGAACATGGGAAGAAAATACAGTGATGAATTAGACTCAAAATTTGGAATGCTTCAGGGCCTTGAAATCTCATACAATACTAAAATGTTTTTAGGCATTCCTTTCCAACTTGCGATTTGGCCAAAAGAAAAGAAATAGGTATTTAAAAAAGGCATACACCCACTTCAGAAACTGTTATATAGATTCTTAAGTAAAACTTGACAATTTTTTTTTACCCAAATTTGCAACTTTGAATATTTCTATGGTACTAGTCCAGCCTGCTTTTTAATTATTTAATGGGAAAAAAATAACAGGGAAAAACGTACTTTCCAGGGGTTTAAAAAAGAATGCATTCCAGAAAAAATGCTAAGGGCAGCTATAGTACCTTAATGTCTTTCCTTTCCTCCACATGCAACAGATGGATGCTGTATGCAGTCAAAAAGAGTATTAGATGCAGATGCCTTTCTTTGGGCTTGCAATTTTGAGAAACTCTAATATTCCTGTTGTTTGGACAGGAACATTTCAAGAAAACTGGTCTAATTGGAACTGGTATGGAGGTGAGGAGAAAACCAAAGCTGTTACTTTGTATACTAATTCATCTCTTTGTCCAGAGAGACATGGAGGACTTTTTCTTCCAAACTTTTCAGCCAACCCAGTTACTCTATCATTAATTAGCACTGGTCAATTTCATCCTATTTGCCCTAAACTAATCTATTTGACCTGGATATAAAATAATTATACAGGCGGGAGAGACTAGAAAGGAAGGTGTAGAGCTGGAAAAAGTCAGAGTAGATCAGACCAATCTTGAATGCATTCTATATGAGGTATGAGTCTGGCCAAGATTCAAACAGCCTGAGGTCTATATTAGAGTGCAGATATCATTCATGGCTGAAGTCAATTATCATGTAAGTGTGATAAAATGGAACATAAAATTTAAATGTTGGAACTGTAATAAATAAAGATGTTGATTCTGCAGAAATTGATGTTCATTATTAGGGGATTTGTATTTGCAATAAAGGCAGTGTATGTAGTGTATCTGTCCTTGACTTCATGGTTAGCTACTATGTTCTCATTGAATTTCTACACAGATGTTTGCTATCATACCCTGAAATCAGAAGGAGCACCTTTACACATGCATTTATTTTAGTAAAGTTGTAGTTAAGCAACTACAACTCACTTTCTCAGCTAAATGGCATGGCTAAACTAATGTTGGATCAGGCTTGTGTTTGCGGAGATTTTGACTCTCTGAGGTAAACCGAAACTGTTTAATGTTTGTAAGTTTTGCAGACTCTGAACTGAAAAACCTACTTTGAGATCTGTAATGGAAGGTTAAAAAAAACTATTTTGGAGCACAGTTAAGCAAGACACAACTGAATTCAAATACAGCCAAAGGTTTCTGTCTACTCCAGGTCTCGGCAAACAAAATGGAGATTTTTAAAAAACACACTGCAATTCTTAATGCATAAGGTACTTCAATCTGTCTCTTATGTAATCTACATATGCATTATTATTCTGACTTTCTCTTCTTTTCACAATTCTCATCACAATTCAAATCCTTTATCAATTTAGCATAGGGTATGGATAGCCACAAATACAATCTTAGAGCAAAAACGCAGAATGGTTATGAAAATAAAACAATGTGTTAAGCTCAGGAAACAGAACATGAGGAAGAAGCTAAGCCTGGTTCCAACTTAATTCACTGAGTTGTAAGAGGAAGGGAAAAGAAACTAAAGGCCTTTAAGATTCTTATATGGCAACCTATATCAATAAATTATGCTTCAGGTCAAACTTAACGAATCGTTTTTGCAATCTGACCCATCCCAAAGGGAATAGCATGTAGTGAACTGAAATTCATATAATTACCTCTTTAATACAATGTGTTAATCTGAAAAGTTAATATCAAATTCCTCCTGTTTTAGGTTACCAACAACTAGCATGCTTCCCTCCTGCTATGCCATATCCTAAATCAGGGGTGTACAATCTTGATAACTTTAAAACTTGTGAACTTCAACTCCCAGAATTCCCCAGCCAGCAAGGTTGAACACCCCTGCTCTAAAACAGAATCAGAAGAATTAAGTGATGGAAAGGCCGGTCAACAGAAGTTTGTGATGTCATAGTTGTACCTAAAATTGAAGCTGGGCTAAGATAAGCATCACTGGGGGCCTGCCACAGACCACACTCAAAAAAGTGTGTAGTTACAGCTATGTAGTCACAATTTTTTTCCTATCTACTTGCCTTCTTCAAGTCTCTAAAGAATAACACAAGCAAAGAAAAGAACACAATGTCTGTTTGTCTTCTAATAAACACTGATATGGATTATATCCGTGAACCAAACTAGTAAAAAATTATTCTATTTTATTGGGGAAGCCAAACTGATAAGTAGGAATATAAAATAGACATGAAAAAGAAAGGAATAAAAGATTTTTCGCTTAAAGATAAAAACATGTGTCACAAATTACCTATAATGAAACCCTAACTATAGTTTTACAAGCCTGGAGTTGATTATAAAAAGCTAGTCAGCCCAGAACACTTGCTGAACAACAACAATACACTTTCACATATATAGAAATAAATTCTGAAACAGACCCAGAAACATATTTTGTTTTCCCATGATTACATGATCTTACAACAGCATCACAACATCAAACACAGCACTACTTCATCTTCAGTAATATATACCATAATTTGTCAGCAGTGCTTTGTGCTTTAGAAAAATTGCCC